TTAGCTGATAGTTTTGAAATATTATTAAGTAGCACAAGAACAATTATACTATGCCATATATCCATAAATAAAATGAAAACACAAAAAGTCAAAAACAAGAAGTTCAATTGTAACAAGGAGAGTTGTATTTATCTCCTTGGGTGTCAAAAGCTTGAAAGTGACTTTTAAAAGTTTAACTTAAAATTGTTTTCTTAAGTCAAGCAAATCCAGTAACTATACATATTTTATCAATTAGAAACAAGTTAATTGTGTTTTTTGTTTTTGTCCATTGTGGGGCTTGAACTCTGGGCCTGAGCACCATCCCTGAGCTTTTCAGCTCATGGTAAGTGCTTTACCACTTGAGCCACAGCACCACTTCTGGTGTTCTGGTGGTTAATTGGAGATAAGAATCTCACGGAATTTCCTGCTTCAGCTGGCTTTGAACCATGATTCTCAGATCTCAGCCTCCTGAGCAGCTAGGATTACAGGCATGAGCACCACTGGCCCCTGGCCAAGTTAATTCATTTTTTAAGGGAAACTCATACATCTGATTTAATTGTTTAACTGAGGGCTAAAAGAATACAGGTAATAAGTCCTTAGGAGCTGAAAAAGTTGTTTTTGTTTTTGAGGCCAGATCCTCCGGCCTCAGCCTCCCAAGTACTTAGAACTACAGATACACACACTAAAGTGTGTGGCAACATTTTACAATTTTCTTGTGTGTGTGTGTGTGTGTGTGTGTGTGTGTGCTGGTCCTGGGGCTTGATCTCAGGGCCTGGGTGTTGTCCCTGAGCTGTTTTTGCTCAAGACTAGCCCTCTACCAATTGAGCCACAGCACCATTTCTGGCTTTTTGGTCATTAATTGGAGATAAAAGTCCCATGGACTTTCCTGCCCAAGCTGGCTTTGAACTGTGATCTTCAGATCTCAACCAAAGTAGCTAGGACTACAGGCATGAGCCACCAGCACCCTGTAAGGTTTGTTTTTTACTTTATTACTCTGTGTATATCTTTGGGAGGGACAATGGTAGAAAAATAAAAATTAATATCATTTTTGCCACATCAGAACCAATAGCTGGGTATTGTGATGCATGCTGGAAGTATAAGAGGATCACAGTCCAGAGTGACTTGGTCATATATATGAGACCTTATGGGAAAAATTACTAAAGCAAAAAGGCATAGGGGTGTGGCCCCAGTGACAGAATGCCTATCTAAGTATATGGTAGTAAGTTCAAATGCTAGTACTACTTCTTCCCAAAAAATTTTAGCTCAGCTTGTTTGGCAATATTATGGTTTGATATTACATGTCCCTCAAAGGCTCATGAGTTGAAGCTTGGTTGCTAGCCTAAAACACTCAATATTGGAGTGTGTTGAAACTTTTAAAAATTAGTCTAGTCATAGAAAGTATGCCCTTGAAGGGATATCAAGACCCCAACCATTATATTCTTACTCTTTTGCTTCCTTGTTGCCATGATATGAAGTTTTTTCCTGTGTTCTCCATCATGTGTTCTGCCCTGCCCTAGGTGCAAAATGCCCTGGGTCCAATCAACCATGGACTAAACCCTCTAAAACTAAAAAAAGGAAACATTTATATTAGCTTATATAAGCTAAGCTAATATAAGCTAATATAAATGTTTCCTTTTTTTTTTTTTTTGTCTGTCATGGAGTTAAACTCTGGGCCTGGGTGCTGTCCCTGAGCTCTTCAGCTCAAGGCTAGTGCCTTACCACTTGAGCCCCAGTGCTACTTCTGGTTTTCTGGTGGTTGTGGACTTTCCTGCCTGGGCTGGCTTTGAATGGTGATCCTCAGATCTCAGCCTCCTGAGTAGCTAGGATTACAGGCATGAGCCACTGGTGCCCCAGCTCTTTTTTTTTTTTAATTTCAGTATTTTGTCATAGCATAGGAAGCTGAATAGAAAACTTTAATTTTTTCCAGCTTTATATATTTTCTTTACTAAGCTGCTGACAGCTAAAGTTTAGAAATAATTACCCTGTGTTGTGGAACTTTTCAAAATTATCACAAGCCAGGTGCTAGTGGCTAATACCTGTAATCCTATCAGTCCTGAGATCTGAGGACTGAAATTTGAAGTCAGCTAAAGCAGACAAATTTGTACCTTTTCCCAAGTGAGAAAGGCAAAGATAACTGTTTTGTTACTATTAAGGAGTCTTTCTAGGATTTGTAGGACAATATAATCATCTCACAGAAAACAAAGTCAATATACAAATAAGAGACGTGTCCAATACATGTGATAAAGAGCTAATGTTTTATTATTTGAAGAGTTTTTATGATCAAGAGAAAAGACCAATGACCCTATCGAAGACTGAACAAGTTATAATGTGAGTTTACAATAAAAGGACTGCAAAAAATTCATACATAAAAATGCTGTACATTATTCTTAATTAAAAAAGCAATTTTTACCTAACAGATTAACATAGATTAAAAAGTTTTTTGAAAGTAGAGTATCAGTGATGATACTGGTCTGCAAACTTATAAAACTTATTTTAAGAGATAACAGTAGTATCTATTAAAAACTGAGAGCACAGCTTAAATATGATATTCTTAGTCCTTTCTTGACAGTCATTTGAGGAAAGTTTTGTTTTTAATCTCTACCCTCATATTTTCTTCATAGCACAGTGAAATTTGCAATGATTTGTTAACTTTTAAAACTGTCTTCCAGTAGAATGTACATTTCTATCATGCCAAAGATCAAGGCTAATGTATTCTTTGGTTTATCCCCAGAACTTTTCACACATGTCTTATTGCCTGACATAGCAGGCACCTAATCAGTGTTTTTCTTTGACTCAATAATTCCATTTCAAGGTGACCATTTCTCCATTTAGGAGACTTTTGCCACAATAATTCCATTTTATAAAAATATGCTACATATATATTGTCACACATCCACGGAGATTTTCACTACAGTACTGTGTAATAACAAAATAAGAGGAATGTCTCAACTATCTCAAACAGATAGCAATCCCTATGAAGGACAAAGAATAGATGCAAACCCAAAGCCACAACTTAAAATATGTTATATGTTAAAAATAAGTACTCTTTCTCTTAGCTTCCCCCCAAAACTTGCCTGCTATCTGTATTTTTAAATGTATACTCTTTTTGATCCCCTTACTCTCTTGGTAATCTCATAAGACTCAAAACCTTGGATGAAAGAAGAAAAGCTGGCCACCAGTGGCTCATGCCTGTAATCCTACTGAGAAAGCTGTGGTCTGAGGACTGAGGTTTGAAGCCCAGGCAGGAAAAGTTCTTGATGCTTATCTTCAATTAACCATGGAAGTGGAGCTATGGCTCAAGTGGCAGAATGTTAATCTTGAGCACAAAGGCTTCAGGACCTGAATTCAAGCCCCAGGACTATCACTCAAAACACTAATCCCGCCCCCTCCCCTCACCCCCAACAGGCTAGCTGTGGTGGCTCAGGCCTGTGCTCTGATACTTGCAAAGTGGAGATTGTGATTTGAGGTCAGTGCAAGCAGTAACCCTTTCCATCTCAACCAGTAGCTAGGTGTTGTGGTACATGGTTGTCATCCAGTTACATGGGCAGCATAAGTAAGATCCTGATCCAGTCTGGTCAAGTAAAAATTTGAGAACTTCTCCCCAAAACAATCGTAAAATAAAGGCTAGTGGTAAGGCTTAAATGGCAGAATGCCCACCTAATAAGTACAAAAGCCTGAATTCAACCCTTAACTAGCACAATAAAAATAAGAGTAATTCTCACAACGCACTGTGCTCTATAAACTTGTTACTAAAAGCAAAACGTGTTTTCTGTCATCCCTTTTCATAGATTTTCTTGATAAAGCAGCTTATTCTTACCACAAGACCATAATCAAGATGGGGTGTTCCCTCATTAAAGCCAAAATGTTTGTATAGAGAAAACACATGTCAAAACTGGTGCCCATAGTTAATGAGAAAACCAATGGAGCCTAATCTGTCTCTACAAATCCTGCAGAAGCAAAGCCTGGTGTCTTTTAGTCATGCTCCCACTTCTCCATCTCTTTGATCTAACTTCCTTGGTTTGATTTCAATTACATTGTCATTAGAATTACATGTTCAGTAACACTTTCATACTATGAAGCTATGTAAAGTGGAAAAAAGCAGTACCAATTTGTGTTTAGCATGGTAAAATGGCTTATTCCTAAAAATAAAAATATACAGATGTTACAGTTTGGCTTTTATCAGTGTTCTCTAACCCTATTTGGGAATGCTAGCTGTGAAACTGGAGTAAAAGGGTCCCTATATCACCCTGCTCTGAAAAATTTCTAGAAACTTATCCTTTTTCCCTCAGCTCAATGGGGCTTTTGGGTGTCTTGAGCCTTGAAAAAGAGGTATATCCAAGTGAAATATTTTGGGTAGTGTTGAATGAAAAATCTCAGGGTCAGTGAGTTATTAGGTAGCTATCTTCCAGTGACTCTAAGTGGAGCTACTCTAAAGTCCTCTCTAAGTTCTAGTAAGCCAGTCTCTCCACACTAATTCATTCATGCAGTACTTCCTGACCTGGCCTCTTCCACTTAAGCTTTGACAACTCTGTCTTTATGCCTTCTAATATTAGCTTTATCTGATAGTCTAGGTGGCCCTAACCACCTGCTGTTTGGTAGACTCGAGCACTCTGGATCATTTGATTAACTCTCTCTCTCTACATATACATATACATACATACATACATATATATATATGTATATAATATTTTGGTTGGTCATGGGACTTGAACTCTGGGCCTGGGCTCTGTCCCTCAGCTCTTCAGCTCAAGGCTAGCGCTCTACCACTTGAGCCACAGTGCCACTTCTGGCTTTTTCTGTTTATATGGTGCTAAGGGATGGATCCCAGGGCCTCATGCATGCAAGGCAAACACTCTACCACTGAGGCACCTTCCTAGCCCTATATATTTATTTATAACATTTCAAAAACCAGTCCTCAGCACACCGGGGACTTACTAACAGTAAGTACAATATCACTGCAAAGCTTTTAAATGTCATCATTTAATAACAGTCTGTTCAAAAAGTCCTGTGCAACAAAGTCCTTACTTGTCATCTTTCCCTTTTGTCTTCCTGTATACCATCTCTCGGAAACTGGCTAGGATCTTATTCTCTCTCTTTCTCCTCTCTTCTTGGTTAAAGGATGCAAGTGCTCTTTTCTCATCAGCACTGTAAATCTGGTTCTCTTTACGAAGTCGTACTGCTTCCATTCTGCGATGCCTGCTACCACTCATGACATAACCTGAGCATTCAAATGCAGCAATCTCTTCACTTGTCAGCCCAATTTCACCTCTTCGTGGGATACGCTTTCCAGCTTTTACATACTCAGCCATAGCTGCCCCTTCACCTGGGAGCAGCGCATGGCCATAATTCAGAGGTTTCTCATCTTGACAGGTATGTATTATAGGTGCTTCTGGACCTATTAAATTTACTGTATCTGAAGTCTTTGACTGTTCGATCCAGATGCCTTCTGACAGTTCCCGTTCTAAAGTTTTACAACTTGTATTGCTGGTATCTTTTTTACTTCTCTTCTTCTTTTTCTTGGCTTTCTTTGCCTTATGTTTCTTTTTCTTCTCTTTCTTCTTGGCTTTTTTGACTCTCTTTTTATCACGATCAGTACTTGAGCTGGTCTCGGAGTCGGACTCACTGTCGTTATCAGAATACTTCCTGTCTTTTCTTTTGGAGGATTTTTTCTTTTTTGAATGACTGATCTTCCTCTTTTTGTCTTCGGACGTGGAATCCGAACTAACGCTCTTAGGATTCTTGGCTTCATCCTCCACAGGTGTGTGCTCATCGGAATCTGGCTCGGGGAACTTAGGTGACAAACCCCACACCTCAGGCGCTCCCAACTCACCAATCCTCTCTCTCTCTTTCAGCCTCCTTTGTCGGTAGCTCTCTTCCTTTTCCTTCTCGTAGTCGATGGCCCGGTCACCAGCATGGTAGTGGTGGCGGCGGTATGCACCATAGTAGACCGAGGAGGAGGAAGAGGGGAAGGGACAGTCGCGGAGCCCCAAGGGCCTCTCTCCACACCCAGCGCGGCCCACCCGGGAAGAGGCGTGGGCGCTCATCCCGCCACCTCCAGGGGTCTCCTGGAGGTTCTCACCGCTTCGGGAGTATGGGCAGGAAGTGCCACTCCAAGGGAAGCATCGGGTCGGCACCGAGGACGACGGCAGTGGTGGTGGCGGGCTCTGAGAGGAGCTGCGTCGACGCCTCCGAAAGCCCGGAGTGTCCTTGGAATAGTGCGACCCTGATACTGGAGCCATGAGCGGCGGCGTCGCAAATGGCGGTTACTGCGGCCTCTGGCGAGGGCCCTGACTTTCCCTAGTGCGCAGGCGCACTAGGAAAAAAAAATTCCCGCGCAGGGAGTGATTCCCCTTCCCTTTCCGTCGCGTTTCTAGGCGAGGACCGAATTCACAGGTGGCTTGGCGGAAGGTACTCTTCGGAAGTGGTGGAGGGGAAATGTGGGCACCGGTTCTCAGTATTAACATTCCCTATGCAGATTTTTTTTTAAATAAACCTATGATCAGTAAAGATACCCTGGAAAAGTCTATAGGAACAGATGATACCATTTTTTTCCTTTGGTTTGCAGTGGGCAGAACATGTGCACATTACAGCCCTTCTGGTTTCAGCATCTAGCAGCAACCACTAGTATTGCAGCCCTAAATCATATGATGTATGATAGTGTAGTTTCACTGCTGCTACAACCAACCATCTTCTTGGGTTCTTCTTATACTCAGGGAATAAAATTCACAGATAGAGGATGATATAAAGAATTTATGCCAAACAACTTTGCTAGCCAGACTGCTTCTGAATTTAAGGGATTTTATCCTTTGGACAGTCAATGACCTATGCAAATGAGGTGTAGCATAACCAACCAATCAGAATATCCCTGACATAGCTGTAGATGTGCCTATTATTTATGATAATTAGGTGTTTTGGAATGTGATTCTCATTGGTCAAGTCTTGTGACATTCTGAATGAGAATTACAGATAACTATGTCCGACAAATTCCTGCCCTTAGGATTGTGGGAAGGATAATTTAACTTGAGAATGAAGAACTAGAAGGTCTTATGGAGAAGCTGAGGCGGGATGTTTCCTGCTGGGATTTTCGAAACAATCTTGTGGGTTTTTTTTTTCAAAGTTTGTGTCCATTTGCCAGGGCAGTTATGCTTTCCTCTTTGAGATGCTCTGGATTCTAGTCAAGTTACTGAACTATTTAACAGTGTTTGGCCAGGGGAGGGGGAAGGAGAGGAAGGTGGAGGTGTCCTGGGACTTGAACTCAAGGCCCGGGCGCTGTTCCTGAGCCTTTTTTGTGCTCAAGGTTAGTGCTCTACCACTAGAGACACAGCGCCACTATCAGCTTTTTCTGAGTAGTTTACTGGAGAGAAGAGTCTCTTGGAGCTGGACTCCGGAAGCTCACACCTATAATTCTAGCTAGTCAAAGATTTAACCAATCTTTGCTCCGGCTTGAGTATCCGGATATTTTAAAAGCTCTCCACTAATCGGAACGTGACAGAATTTGAAAACTGCTAACTTAACTTGCTTCTCTATTTTACCTATATAGAGTATTGGGATATAGAGATTAGAAATCCAGGACATCCAGGTTCACTGATTTTGCTAACAACGTTACGTGAGTAGTATTCCTGGTGCAGCTCATACAGACAAAAATATTTCCCAGTATTCATTTGTAGTGCCCTTTGATACCTGTAATATTAAATTCATTTTCTTCTTTGTCATTCTTTGAACTTAAAAGTTCAAAGTAAAAACTAAGAACGATATGGGCATGCTATTTTCTGATAACCTTCTGAACATGTATTTTCTCGCTTGTCCATTCCACTTGATAGAACATTTACTGATACTTCAATCCAGCCAAACAACTTGCATTCACTTATAGCTTAAAATCTAGTCACAACGGACTTCTAACAAATCCCAGAGCTTCCTTTTATTCTAGGGTAAGATCTAACTTATTCTATACCACACATTCATCTAAGCACTTTATGTAATGTCCATAATATTATTTAACGCCCACAACATCTTTGTTTACAATTGCTATCTTCACTTGTAAATCAGGAAGGTTGGGCACAGATAAACTTTCCCAAATCACTCATCTGGTATTTGGTCAAACCAAGACGGCTTTGTAACATGGTCTGATCACTGAGTTAGATGGTTAGTAGAGGCTGGAATACAAAAAGAAGGAAGCAGGCCAGAATAGGGTCTCTGAGCTAGGGATAAGAGAATTTTTGGAAGTAGACAGCAGTATGACCCTGGTTGCCTAACAAGATGTCATGAGAAATGGAGAGTGGTAAGTTAGAGTAGAGGAATCTCTGGTTACTTTTACAGGAACCATCTTAGTGGCTGTAGCGCACTTTACTACCCACATTGTGTTAAAGATTAATGGGAGGCGAGATCTGGAGTCACCAGTGGAATGGGCTGTCTTTCAAGGAGTTTGGCTCTAAAGGGGAGGAAAGAAAGTGTTAGATTAAGAGTGAAGAGGACAAGAACCAGAAGCAGTCATTTCTGTCTCCAGACAATGGCTTAATGATGGGTATGCTTTTTTTTAATGTTGCTGAAATAAAGTTCCTGCCAGAGTTCTGGAGTTTCTGGGTCACTCTACTTTCGAGTTGAATTTTATTGTCAGTTCGATGCTAGCTGTTTAGGCAAGCTTTACAGTAGATAAAAATGGAAGCCCTAGCAGAATCCTTCCAGAACTTGAAGATTTCCTATTTTATTACCCAGGGCAACTTCCCCCCTCCGTTCCTCCCCCCCCCCGCACCCCTCCCCCCTTTTCCCTAGCTTGGAAGTAAGGATAGGATCCCTAATGGGTTAATTCGGAGAAGACGATCGAGAGGAGCTTCCCAGAGCGCCCAGGAAGTGGCTTTGGTTCCCACTGTGGTTTCCTGTGCTCCCGCCTCAACTTTGGTCTGTGTCTATTTAGTATTCACTTTTTTTTTTTTACCATCCCGAGGATCTCCTTTGGGAGTGTTTATTGTGGGGTTCAGGATGGATGCAGAGAACGCTGCAAAGACACGGGGAGATCTGTGCTGCTGCGCCTCAGACGCGTTCTTGGACTCCAGTTTTACTGGCAAATAATTCTTCCTCATCTTTCAAGAAGGCTATGAAGATAAGCCGCACGCAGCGAGAGGCGGGAAGCCAATACAGCCTTACCTCAGGATGGCTGGAGAACCGGGACGACACACAGCACTGGATGCCCACTCTTCAGAGGACCAGATGGAGCTTCTAACTGTGAGGGTGGAGAAGGAGGAATTCTCCGCCTTGGCTGCAGACTCGGGTACACCCTGTAGTCGCGTCCGGGGCCCGGAGTGCTCCCGCCAGTTTCCGTGCTTTCGGCTACCCCGAGACCGCAGGCCCCCGAGAGGCGCTGAGCCGGCTGCGGGAGCTCTGCAGACGATGGCTGCGGCCCGACCTGCGCAGCAAGGAACAGATCCTGGAGCTGCTGGTGCTGGAGCAGTTCCTGGCCATCCTGCCAGGGGACCTGCAGGGCTGGGTGCGGGAGCAGCATCCAGAGAGCGGGGAGGAGGTGGTGCTGCTGCTGGAGTATTTGGAGAGGCAGCTGGATGAGCCGATGCCGCAGGTAGAAAGAACGGGTTTAGTATCTGTGCATCCTGAACTCTCCCAGCGAGGGACATGCCTCTCAGGTCCAGAGTTCTCAGTCTCTTTGTACCGTGAACCTCTTTGGCAGTAAAGCCAAAATACCCTGACCTCCTCAGAATAAAATCTCTAAATACTAGGATAAAACTCTCTAAGCACGTCCTCTAAATAAGATCCTTAAATATGTCGCGGAAACTATGAAAGAGTGCAAAAGGCCGGGCAGAAAAGTCTGAAAAGAAATATCTTCAATTAGCCCCCACAAAGCCGGAAGTGGAGCGGTGGCTCAAGTGGTGGAGAGCCAGAAGCTCCAGAGGAGTTTGAGCCCTACTAAGAGTGTGCGTGTGCACACTCATGCACACAATGATTGAAAAAGAAGTCAGACTTGCTGATATTCAGTTAGCAAAATGCTGAACAAATCTGTGATAGTTATTACATATGTGCTTTTAAATTAACATGCCAAATAAAATGGCCCAGTGACAGGTTAAAAACTGGACATTTCAAAGTGATGATTAGCAAATGATACTTTTTTTGCAATGTGCAGTGAAAACACGTGTAATGACTGAGTCTTGCCACTGCTTAGGCCACATTGGTTTGTTGCTTCCATTAATAATGGACTAATTTCTTAGAAACTGGTTAAAACAAAACAAAACAAAACTTTTTTCCTATCCAAATTCATAGACCACTGTTTTTTGAATTTCTGGTAAAAAAATTGGATTGGTTTTTAGTTCCTCTGCCTGCTTTTTTAGAAAGCATTATAATGGTGACATACAGAGAGATTACAATTACATAAGTCAGGTAAAGAGTACATTTCCTTTTATTTTGGGGGGGGGGGGGTCCGGTCATGGGCCTGAACTCTGGGCCTGGGCGCTGTCCCTCAGCTCTTCAGATCAAGGCTAGCGCTCTACCACTTGAGCCACAGCACCACTTCTGGCTTTTTTTCTTTTTGCTTATGTGGTGCTGAGGAATTGAACCCAGGGCCTCATGAATGCAAGGCAAACACTCTACCACTGAGCCACCTTCCCAGCCAAGAGTACATTTCCTTTTGGACAATGTCACCTCTTCCCTCCTCTTCTTCTGCCTGTGTTTGGACAGTTTTCTCATTGCAGTTTAGTGTCTTTGTGTACAATCAGAGGACGGAAGACCAGAACCTTCTAACCAGTGACTAGGAAACCAAGGTTCTTGGATCTATTTCACAGAATTCTATAAGAGTGAAAAAAATCCTAAGTCTCAGTGCTTTGTCAAGGATGTGGTTAAATTCTGAGCTGTCCATAAGAAAGTAATGTGAAAACAAGTTTAACTATGAATATCTGAAAGGAAAGCTGCATTTAATGAAGACACACCATATGTCAAGCTCTGTGATTTTGCATACTATAATCATATTTACTATTTGTCCAAACCCCATGAGCTAGAAATTAATATGCCTTTTTTTTTTTTTTTGCACATAATAGACATGAATTCAGGGCCCTGGTGCTATACCTTAGATTTTTTGCTCAAGGGTGGTACTCTACCACTTGAACCACAGCTTCATTTCTGTCTTTTTGATGGATTTTTTGGACTTTCCTGCCCAGGCTGGATTGGAACCATGATCATCAGATCTTAGCTTCCTGGGTAGCTAGGATTACTGGCACGAGCCACTGGTGTCTAACTCCTTATT